CGATAACGGATCATCGTGAGCTATGACGGCTGCTACCTTCCGGAATGCAGTGACTCACAAGAATTTTTTTTCACAAGTAATCACTGTGACTACACAGTGCACAGACTTTTGATCTTTTCGTAATATGGAGACAAATTTCTTCGGCGCGTTCCATCAAGAGTGCTGAGCTAAGCACGTTTTACTCGGAAAATAAGCTAACGTTACCATCGATTTACGTGCAAATAAGCAAAAAAGAAACAACGCTGTGTCACTTCGAAATTACATATAGAATTATATGTATATATTAATATTTATTAATTATATTTAACAGAGAACAGCTCGAGAAATATTTGAAATCTTTAGAAATAAGCATATAAAAAATAATTTTTTCTTTAACGTAACGAAGAATTATCTCAAATATTTAATATTAGTTGTAGTTAAATTTAAGAAAACATCTTTTTATTAAAAAAGTACCTTTTTATTTTTTTTTTGCAAAAGAATACTTGTATATAAGCAACTTTACTTTAACATTATTTAACGATATTGCATTTTTCATCTTTTACTTCATCTTGTCCTATTTTACAATCATCGAAACAAACGTTTTCAGTACGAGACAGATATCCAATGGTGTGCCATCGATTTTTTTCTCCCGAGCGCGTAATAGGACACCACCAAGTTAAGTCACTCGGTCGGTACGTTTGGGAATCAGCGCGACGTCCGCTATGCGTAACCCGAAATGGCCTGGCCAGGCAGCAACGAATCTTGCCACCCTCTCCTCCTCTTGACGCGTAAAAATAAACCCGTTGGTTACGATACGCGCGTTTTTGGATTCGTGGAACGCGCGTCCCGTCAAATGGAATTTCGTGCAATAGCCCACCTCGAGAAATTCCGCTTTACAACGAATTTTTATCATCGCAATCCATGATCTTCCTTGCCATCCATGATCGCGGAATCTTCACGTCTAAAATATTCTACTTGAAGAAGAAATAAAGGAACTGGAATTAACGAGCGCGCAAATGGAACCGATCATTTCGCGAGAATTTTGTTTTCCCGTGAATTACGTGTAAATGTTTATAATATGATTGCACGTGCATTTAACTCCGCGTTCAACTTCGCAGAATCTTCCGACTAATGTTTTTGTTTCTACGAACATCATACAAACTTCATTTCCCTTTCGTTCTCTGCTTACCAGGCATCTCTGATTACCAGCGAGCTCGGAATCTCGCGCGGTAGAAACAGAGATGCGGTTTTACCGTACATGCAATTGCAGTGGCGCAGGCACGAGATTCTTTAAGATTATTCTTTAAACGAATATTTAATAACGACAAATTTCGTTCCATTTCAAATTTGCATCGTTCTCAGTAATTTATATATCTTTATTCTTGGCAGAGAACGCAAAAGTTACTAACACATCATGAAAGAGGATGCATTTTAAGAAAAATATATCTGACATGAAACATTATTCCTGTTAATGAAAGAAAAAAAAGAACAAGTGAAAAAAAATAGAAGTCGAATATATTTGTATATAAAGTAATATAGTATGATACAAGAATAATAATAATAATAGTAACGATTTCCACGAGAAGAGATAAAACTATCACAGTGCATCTTCAGTAGTTAGTATTATCGATATCAGTTGACTGACTCTTCAAGCAACAATCAACAAGTACGTAAAGTTTTCAACATATATCGCGACATCGATAAAACCAAATCGCTTATTGTCTTTATACACAGCAGAGACGCGTCGCGATGGTTTCGTCATTGAAATTCGAACCACGTTTATTACGTGATACCGTTCCATAAAACGGAATTCTTTAAAGTTATTCACGACTCGAGGTGAACCGTCCCCGACGCCTATTCTCTGATCGCACCGCAGAAATGTTCCGCCATTTAAGAACGATTTATACAAACGACCAGGGATGCAGTCGCGACGGATTTTTGTTCTCCCTGCTCGCTCGTGCACGGGGATTGCATACCTGAGCAGCATGACGTCACGAGACGAAAAGAGGCAGCGGAGCGCGAACGTTTGATATCGCCTTCCTCCGCGGCCCGGGCCCTCCTCAGCGAGGAGCCGGCTCTATAAATAGGATATCCGGTCGCTCGCTAATTATACACCTATGCACGCCCGTTCGCCGAACGGCGAATCCGCGAGAAAGCAAAGCCCGGAATTTTCTTGCTTACGAGAAGAATTCTCTTGCGCCGCGAGAGAATCCCATTTCCGCGCCCGTGACGGGTTTATCCTCCCCTTCTTATCCTTGAAACGTCGTCGTAAGTTGCTGGGGAAGGATAACGGATCGTACGATCGCACGAACGATCGTAGTGTGCGCTATTTCAACCCTATATATCGTTGCGAGGAGGCTATATAGAAACCACATTCCTTCGCGAACAAAGAAAATTACTACACGCGAGGAAAAAAAAACGGGGCATACTTAATTGTTCATCGGAGCGAACTTTGAAATTCGGTTAGTAGAGGCGTAAAAGCGAGGCGAGCAAAAAGTCTCGCTAATTGGATGGTTTTATGTCACGGTAAATTAACGAGAATTTTTCGTGACATTGTCGAGTAGAACAATTAGATCAGTAAATTAATTATACCTATGTTTCTTAATCGAATACATAATTGTGATAATTCTTGTCAATGCATTTTTTAAGTCAATATATTACAATTATAATACTTTACTCAAACATAACGCAAATTGTCATGACGATAACATTAAAATGACATCAAAATAGCTCCAAAATGATTACTATAAAAATTACTTTTTAATTAAACATTTTATTTTAACGTCATTTTGATATTATCGTGACTTATTGTTCTGCTTAAATAGTTTTACGATTTTACACGCAATTAATTATGATTGACAAGAAAGTACATATCGATATTTTTATTTAGACTTGCGTTACGTGGAAAAATTTTATTTTATTCTATCTTGTTATATTAAATGCGCAACTAAGTTCTCGCTGTTATTTTCATGGCATTTGCATCAAAATAACAGCGAGAACTTAGTTGCGCACCTAATACAATAGAAGAATAAGAAAAAGGGACACTCCATAATCAATCCATGAATTTTGTATATCTATCTATAATTGTATTCTTGTTCGATGCTACAGATTTTCTTCTGTTGGACGAGTGAGGAGACACAAACACCACCATGGACGCAATCAAGAAGAAGATGCAGGGAATGAAGCTGGAGAAGGACAACGCGATGGATCGCGCGTTGCTCTGCGAACAGCAAGCTCGTGATGCCAATGCGCGAGCTGAAAAGGTATACAAAACTATTATTCTTCATGACAAATGTTTTGAAATCAATCATAATTGTTCATATACAAAAATATGTATGTCAGAATTTGATAATTGGGATAAACTTAAAGATGATTGAATTGACAATTTATTAATGTTTTCGAAATAGCGATAAAAATACGATCTTATGCTGACGCCTGGCGCTCACTTTTAGCGTCAAAATGCTACGTAGTCAAAATATCAAGTTAAATTTGATCATGTGATCTATTTTGATACTAAAAATGCCAAGTGTCAGCACAGAAAGGTATTTTAAAAATATACATTAAGCTAAATTACTATAATCTATTTTTTAAATAATAGTAATAATATGAAGAAATAATGAGATATATTGATTTACACAGGCTGAGGAAGAGGCTCGTGCCCTGCAAAAAAAGATCCAGACCATCGAGAATGAGCTTGACCAAACTCAGGAAGCTCTTATGCAGGTCAACGCGAAATTAGAGGAGAAGGACAAGGCTCTGCAAAACGTAAGTCGAGCAAATATTTTTATTATTCCATAAACGAAGAAGTATTTGACATTATTGCTTGATCGAACCAGAAATGGATTTTAGCAATTATTTTGATTTATTATAATTAATTAAGATCAAATAATTTGCATTGTTACACCTGTGGACACTTTAATTTTTCTGCCTTGTACTTTCTGACATATTCAAAAAATTTCTATATATAGAACTTTAATTACTTCCAATAATAGCCCACATAGCAAGATGCTAATAGTTCGCTGACAGATTGACAGTAAATCAGATCCAACTGTAGATTCATAGCTATTTGCATCAACATTAAACTCAAGATTTGTCGATAGAATCTACAGATATGCTGATGCCAACAGAATGATAGCAGAAATCGAGCACGTGAGACAATTTGACAGCAGACTAGCAAAACTGACATAAGAATAGTATATTTTGTTCGATTTCTATTGCCAATCTGTTGATAAAGTATATCAACAGGCGTATTTTATTTCTGACGGCAAGTTGCCGATATCAATGAAATATATTATTAGATATTCTAGATCCGAATTCTGCGTAGACTGCTTATTCAGCGAAATATGAAATTTCAAAACGAAAAATGTTCAAAGAGTTCCAAATCCTTGGAATTACAATATATTTAATTTTCACATTTCGCATTTATTCACGCTAACAAAAACAAAAGATATAATGTAATTTTCATTGATATCCAAGTAAAACAAAAAGAAAAGAAGATTCTGAAATATTGCATAACAGAAAAATTCCATTTATATCACTTATTTTATTCAAGTCAGAACGTTAGATTTGAAAAAAGCTGTAAATTTGGCTTTTATGAAATGAAACGTTAGCAAAACTAGACATAATCCAGGACCTCTTGACCCGCAAAAAAATGCCGCCTCAACAATAGTTACCGACAGAGCACAATCAGCGCACAATGCGAGCGCGCGCCGATTGATGGCGCCACTTGTTCGCGCAGGCGCAACTCGCACGTCAACAAGCGGCGCGTCCACTTGCTCTCCGCGAACAGTTCATCCGTGATTCGCGCAGTTTCCGCGTTATACGCTCGTGAACCTTCGGCAGCTTCGGCTGTCCCCACTCCATCCCACTCGCGCGTCGCTTAACCGCGTGGAGGGGACGTTGCTCTCGGTCGCCGTGCGCGCGAGCGAGACAGATACAGCGTGGCCAGTGCACGGCGTAGAACGGTGCGATCCCTTTTCTTTGTGTACGCGCCGCCGTATTGCGTGTGCGTGACGTGACGGTGCAACACAACCGGTGGACAGTACGTCGTCGGCGCGGGGGAGAAACGTGTGTCTCGATCAGTGACAGACAAGATGGCGGAGTGTCTGGTGCGGTGGTAGTAGAGCGGTGCATATCGCACGGGTCGCGTCGTCACGGAGGACAACGCGGAGGGTCTCGGTTGTTGGCCAAAGCTTGACAACAGCTGGACGCGACATGGAACGGGCGGTCTCGGCGACGACCAGACGCCGCGGTCACCAGCATCATCCGCGGCACACCACGCGACGACGTCTCGACGCCTCCAGCAGAGGACCCGCGCAGTGTGGCCCTGCTGATGCCGCCAGGAACACCACGTTTACCGGCGACGAGACGTCGCTCGCCAACGTGACCGTCGACTGCCGACTTGGCGCGACGGATCCGTCCGTGACACCGCAAGTGACACTCGGCACGAGATGGCCCACGAGGATCAACGAGATCGAGACGAAGGACTCGAAAACTCAGGTGCTCGAAGAGGAGAAGGAGAAAGATAATGAAGGAGTCCGTAGGGATGATGACGTCCGACAAAGGCTCGCGCAGTGTAGCCCGGACGTTCCCGTGCTCGGCGAGAGTAAGGACGCTGAGCACGACGAGATCCAGGATCGGCCGGGTAGAAAGAGAAAAACCCACCGATTTAGTCCTCGTAGGAAGAACTCTGCCGAGAATCGCGACGAACGCGATCCGCGAAGCAAGAGCAACTCGCCCGAGCCTGAGCACGCGGTCGCGAGGGCACGCGGCGACGGGAACTCCGATGACGAGTCTGCCAACGTCGAGGAGGACCCTGAATTGGCGGAGCTAGCTAAGCTACGTTGTCCCAGCGAACGTACCGAGGTCCAGGCCGAGAGAGAGGCCCGCAGGCGGAAGAGATGCGCCGATTATCCTGGGCTCGCCTTCGGCTGCTCCATATTTTCCAGCGACACGATGATGAAGTTCAGTCTGATAAAGAACGAACTCCAGAATATCATGGGCAATCAGCTGAAGCGGGTCAGTATCCGCCGTATGACAACGGCGTACCGCCGTTAAATAGCGGCCGTGATAGGCAAACGCGACGGTTTCAAGGTCGTCAATGACCTTGATAACGCCGGTCAAGAGGTCCTCGAGGTCGGCTGGTATTTCGTTAGATTCGCTGAAAATATCAAACTCTTTGGAAACTTTCCTTTTTTTTTCAACAATATTTTTCGGAGATACGAAGTTGAGTATTTTTTATAAAATACTCTTTAAGCATTTGATAAAGTCTCGTTATTTATACACAAATTCAATCAAAAAACTTGACGCTAATGAAGCGTGAACGAAGGTATATAATCATAAGATCATTGCCTTCAAAGGAAAATCAATGATTGTGGCAATGTAATTTGATGTTATCAGGTCATTCATTTTCTTGTAGTTATGATAACGTCGAAGTATTATCAGTTATTATGTTGCTGCGTAAAATTAATGATACAATGAGAAATAATTCGGTTCTAACAGCTTGAATATTGTAAGAATTTAATATGAATTTCGTTATCCAAAATTATTTAGAATTTGATTCTAAAATCGATCGGTTGAAAAATACTAATATTTTTATTTTATAATTCATTTTCTCTTATGTATGACGTATACACGTTTCTAGTTGCAATAATAAAAATGCATATAGCACGAATTACGTAAGCAGCAACATCAAGATCGCATACAACTCTGAAGATGTGGGCGAATTTCGTGTTCAGAGAAAATAGCTTCTAATGACAATCAACGCCACTTCTAGCTTTCTACTTTTTTTCGGACATTCAATTGATATCGTGATGATTAAATGAAGCAAGAAAACGGACGGACTTTGTGCTCGTCACGTTACTGAGCGCAGTAGATGTTTATTTGCAATTAAAATCACGTCGGAATTGTCGCAGTAATTTTCATCTAGATATGAATTTGAAATGAAGCTTTTAAGATTATAAATACGCGCTCTGATTAAATGATTATAGAGAATAGCTTACATAAATTTTCAGGAATATTACATTAAATTGACGTTCAATTATCTTTACAGGTGTATAGGTATCCGTATTTTCATGTAATATAACTGTTTTCTTTCACGGTTCTTTCACAACATTCAGTCAAACTTCTGCAAGAAATGTCATGAAAAATTTAAAAGTTTGAAATATTTTTATCTTCTGTTCAATATTAATAAATATGACAATCATTAATTATCGCGATCTGTAATTATCAAATTGACATTGTTTGCATCGATTGTGACTACAATCAAATAGTAATTGAAAGCTCGTGGCAGCAAGTTCAATTTTTACAATAAAATGAATTAAATACCTTATTGAATGATAATATAATATAATAGCTTAAATTTTTCAAAGCTGCATTCCAAAACGTCCTCTCCGAGGAAGATTTTACTCTATGTGCTATATATAGTATATGTTACTATATATTTCGAGTAAAATTTTTTGCTCGGAGAAGACGTTTTGGAATGTACTCCAAGAGATAAGCAATTCTAGCCATTATTTCCCAATCTTTCAATTGATACGCGTAAGTCATTTCAATATCTGATGAGATAATTTCTATATCTCAATATCTATTGTAAATATTTATTGAAATCTATTGGGAAATTTTTGGATTATAGATTATCGTTACTTATTGTATCAAGTGTTTCTTATAAAACGCGGAGATATCTCGAATAATATACGTAGATATGAATTTTTGGATACTGGCAGTGCTATAAAAAAAACGTCCCTAAAACGACAGTCGAGAAAGTTGCTGCTAACGACGCATAAGCGCGAGATCCTCTTGGCGACAAATGGCATTTATTATTAGGGTTACTGAACGAGGACAATAGGTTACGCGTACACGATTTTCTTGCTTAATACACTGATAGAAAGTCATTGCCTACTAGACAGTACATCTAGACAGTGTTATTATCTATTTTAATTATTTTTATAATATTTATTAATATTCGTAAGATATTAATGAATATTATAGATATTATATATATGAATGCCTATCTCGATTCTGAATTTTATATCTAATATCTATAATATTCATTAATATCTTACGAATGATTACATTGTTCGAGTTTAATTTGCTTTTTAATGCCAAATAATGCGTCACATATTGTGTGTTTTAATTCATAAATATTAGCCCATTTTCTCGGAATTACGGGTTTGAAATAGAAACTGAAACATTTTATGCGCATTGAGCTTTATACTACATTTGTCATTCGATTATAAATACTTTATTTAATTCCTCTATCACGTATCATAAATTTTAATTCGAATATGCGTCAATTCATTCAATGCAATTTCTCGTTAGTGATTTTATTTTTGAAATGAAAACGGATATCATCCTGTCTCATATTTTATCTGTGATATCAATTAATGTACTCTGAATACAATTAATGAATCGCAAATGGCCATCTGTTTTTGAAAACGTATTTTCCAAGTCTTATTTGATATCGTCATATTTTATTCCAGGATCCGTTAGGTTTTATTAATCCCTATCTAATTATAAAATTTTTTTTTAATAATTAGATCATCTACCTATGCCTAAGAATAACTTAGTTAATTTAATAATAACTAAAATTGAAAATAAACCAAAGGAAAAAAAAAGTATCTCATTTGCGTCAATCCCTGCATTATATCGGAACACGCCAACCGCGTATAATGGGATACACCGCATTACGGTACATCGAATCGTAAGATATTGAAGTATACTACGTGATACTTTGATGACATCCGGGATCGAGACACTCTCCCCTCTTGCAATACATGAAAACCAGTTTTAAGAATAAGATAATTGTAACGGGGCAAGATAAAGATAATCTTCTTTATTTACATCATACGATACTTGTATAATTCTGTATTCAGATTTAGTCTATGAATGAAAAAAATCTCACTGTAGCGTTTAATAGTGTTCGAGTTTCATTAAACTTTCTTCTTCATCGCGACAATGGAACTTATTCTGTATCATCAAACTGTCTTTCTTTTTTTGTTATCGTCATAGAACAATGGAAACCCCTGACTCCGGGATGTTCTTCTCGACGACGTTTGTTTCCGTCACTCCTTTTTCGGGGCCCCGCCCTTTTGCATACGCGTCTGGCAAGTCTGCTCAAGCTTACACCCCACGATCTAACTCGTCAACATTCTAAAAATATATGACGGCCGTGATCCAGCGAGACTTTTATTCGGGAGAGTGCGGGACTAGATTGCGTAAGCTCCCGTTCCCGGAGCCTCTGCACGAATAAATCCGGTGCGCATCTAAAGAAAACGCATCCCAAAACGTCGTGCAAAATGTTCACCATCTCAAAGATTCTAGACATATGCACACAGAAAAATATAATTCTATTGTTAAGAAAAGTGATTATTCAACTTTCTTTTTTTTTTTTTAGGTAACGATTATTTTTAATAAAGAATATTTTCTTGATAATAATCCTGAAATGTACTTATACAAAGTTTTTAATAAACTTTTTAGAAAAATTCATTATATGTACGCAAAACAAGAATTTATTTTCTTTTGACAAATATTATAAATTTAGTTGAAGAAGCGATTTTATGTAATAAGCAAATCGAATTTGTTTTAATTTAATAATCTTGATATTAAAAACTTATTAGGATTCAGAATATTTTGAATAAATTTGATGCTTGTGATGAATTTATGATAGATTTGCGGAACCTTTGAAAGATTTTAAATAAATAATTACTACTTGCGTACAGTATTTTTCTGTGTGTGATTCCAAAAGTCTTCTAAAAAGTTTCTTATTCATTAATACATTAATCCATCTCTCTTCGTAAATTATTGTTATTTATATCCATCTAATAAGCCACAATTTGTCACAAAAAGAATATCTATTTTGGATTGAAGTAGAAATTTGTGGATTATATCTAATTTTAATTTTTAGGAGATTCAAAATTGATCTTAATCTTTTAGCTCAAAATATTATGAGAAAATCGTTTTCGCTTTATGAATTGGAAATTTCCGTGACAGAGCACATGTGTATTTGTTCTTGAATTATCGTAGAAGAGAGAGAGAGAGTAATAGATTTATTGCACACATTAATCAATATTGCCAGTACAAGATTATGCATTATTATTTTATTCTTGAAGTGATTAGAATCTTTTTTCTCGAAGAACTGAACGACACGGTTTACAATTTGAGAAATCATATTTTAAAAACCACTTAAAGAGTCGATTTAAATGATGAGATAGTATTGGCGATCAAAAACGCATCAGTATAAATTGAAAACCCATTTTGTGTCGTTATTCTCATTGCAAAGCACCGTTGCGAAACGCCTACGCGGGGATTTGGAACGCGCGCTAATTTCGTTCGCCTTCGACTCTTTGTCGCGCATCGACCTTTGAAGCTCTTTCTCGTGACTTTTCGTCATCTTATCGGTCGATATTTGCACGCTACATTCTGCAATGGCTCGTTGTTTCAACTTATTATGACTTATTATTCACGATTGATGTTCGACGACTACGTGATTTGCGACACGAATGAATGTTCTTTCTTTGCTCGGTGAAAGCCAAGATGACGTTTGCGGTCATCGAATGTTTTACGAATAACGCGGGCTTATTCTTTTCAGCTGCACCCACCTTTTACTTTGCGAGATTAAGAAAAGAGAATGAAATCACGAGAGAAAGAACAGAGATCTTGTTTCTTGCGAATCTTTCTCAGCAGTATTGAAACAATGCCAAGTCGCATAAACCATTTGGGAAACAGATGCAAATACTTCTTATTGGAATTTGAATTCCACGAGCTATAAAAAAAAATCAAATCGAAGCCAATACGAATTTGAAAGTGCGAATGTGCGATATTATGCATTTTTAACGATTTCTACTCTCTAAATCTGAATTAAAGTGAATAATAATTGATATCGATTCCAAATATGCTACTGGGTAATTAGTGAAATTCAATTAAAAATCAATGAAACAAGGAATTCTTAAGCTAATTCTTTCTAACTAACTTTGTTTTAGTGTATACGTTCAATGATATTGGAACTGTGACGCAAATAT